GAGACCCCGGGCGGGGAGAGAGGGCGCCGGTGAGACCCCGGGCGGGGAGAGAGGGCGCCGGTGAGACCCCGGGCGGGGAGAGAGGGCGCCGGTGACACCCGGGGCGGGGAGAGGCCGTGCGGCCCCAGGGCGCCAGGCCCATGTCCCTCCTGGCCTTGCCCCCGGGAGATTCCTCCGGGAAGGCTGCCTGGCCTCCGCAGACTCCACCGAAAGGCCTCGGAATGGGGGCCCTACTCCGAAGTGGGGAGAAGTGCCCTCGGCATGGGTGAGATGGAGGGGTGGGGGTTCAGACGCCCCCTCCCCCGTGGTGTGGTGCCCACCAGCCCCAGTGCCAGGAAGAGTGGGTCGGTCTGGGAACTCCTTTTGACCAAGGACTGAGACCAAACCTGAGTCCAATGTCTTTCCATGTCCACTTTCCCAGGGACCCTGTGGATAGGGCCAGCCTTGGGGGTGGGCAGTGGGGCGTAGTTGCCCATGGAATTGTACCGCTGGTGCTGCCTCAATTTCCACCACTGACGTCCCTGTGCTAACCACTGCCCCCTCTGTACAGACAGTTCTAACAAAGGTGATCAAATTATCATCCAAACCGGGGCACTTTTGAGAGTGAAAGGGGCAGAATGGGCCAGCCTGGAGGTATGCGTGTTCACCTCATTCTAACAAGAAGTGACTGTGATAGCACCCAAGGCTTTGTTGAGCTTCTTTCTGTAGGCACAAAGACAAAGACTTGAGACCTTATGTAACTTGCCAGAGCAAAGTTAGTGAAAGAGCTGGCTAGAGGCTGGCGTCCCAGAAGGGATAAAATCCTTAATTAACCGAAGTCCTTAAGGGTGGTGGAGGGAGGTGGTGCAGGATGAGGACATAGATGCCAGGATGCAAGGTGAAGGGACTGAGAAAAGGAAGTGTGGGGGTGCCCACAGCCTCCCTGTTTCCTGGACATAGCTTTGCCCTGTGTGTGACCCTGCGTCTGGCCCTCACAGACGCTCCCATGCAAAAGACATCCATGAAGTCATTTCATCCTTCCAATTACCCTATCAGGAAACTGCGGCCTAGAGAGGTTAAGTTGCCTCTCCAGGGTCACACAGCTGGTCAGGGGCAGAATCCAGGTTAGAACCTAGGCTGTTGACTACCGGGCTAGTGCTTATGACTGTTCCCCTGAGCTGCCCATGACACAGTCCCTGAACAGGGTGCACGAGGCACTGGGCACCACCCACCGTAAGGGCAGTGCTGCCAGGACGGTGGCGGGGGCTTGGGCTTCCGGCTCAGAAAGTTGCTCAGGGTGGGTCCGCGGCGGCCCAGGGGGTCGTCAGGAGGCATGAACCTGGAAATAAGCACAGGGAGGCGACATCAAAACAAACTCACCATTGACACTGATATGAGGAGCTGGCCCAGGCCACGCAGCGAGCTAAAGGCGGCTCCAGGCTTGGACTCAGGCTCTTCCCACCCCCCAGGGGGCTTTTGTAGCATTTTAAAGCAGCAAAACCTGTCCTTCACAGGGGCCCTTATGCAGAACCCAACACAGATCACAGGGTGCTGGCCGCCCGGGCCCTTTGGGGTTTCCCTGGTGTGGGTCAGGGCAGCAGGGTCAGCGCTGCATCACCTGGGAGCTTGTTTTTCAAAATGCAAGCCCCAGGGCTTCACACCCAACCTACTTAATCAGAATCTCAAACTGTTCCAGAATCTGCATTTAACAACTTCAGAGGTGAATCTTACCTACGGCAATTGAAGCACAATTGCTCTAGGGCTCCCCTGGGTCCTGATCTGAAAGCTGCCTTCCTAACCACCAAACCACCTCTATGTGTTGCAGATTAGAACTGTGCCCCATAGGGTTTTCAAGGCTGTGACTTTTCAGAAGCCCATCACCAGGCCTTTCTTCCAAGACACCTCTGGGTGGGTTCAAACTGCCAACCTTTCAGTTAGTAGTCTACGTTTGCGCCACCCAGGGATTCCACTACTTTCTTGAGCCAGTTCCTCGAAGGTTTCCGAGTTGTGTGAGCTCCCTGAGGCTTAAATCCCATTGCTAGCACACCTCACCCTGTGCCTAACACAGCTCTGGACACATGTCAGTGACACAGACAGTGACAGAGCGTTTGAAGCACCTGTCAGTGGTCAGTGAAGAAGCACAGGGGGCCTTGCCCCAGCTGCCAACCCTCCATGCCCACTCCTCTGCAACCCCGAGAGGCTCTGTGTTTGGTCTCAGCACCCCCGGGCGCCCTGACTCTGCACACGCTGTTCTCTGACACTCGGCCGACTCTGCCTTGTCCCCCTCTCCTCCCTAGCATTAAGCCCTAACAAGGCAGGAAATACGGAGGTGTCCAAGGCTCAAAGGGGAAAACAAAATTCCTCAGAAAGAAAACTCTCCTCCTTTAGCGAGATCTGCTTTTTTTTACATGAATACTTTTGTTCCCTGGAGACGCGTCCAGATCAGACAAGGTTCTCTGGGGGTGTTGTGGATTCCAAGTGGGGGCCTGTTTTCTGGGCTGGGATCCCTCTAAGAGTCATGCTGGGGTCCACCCTGCAGACCCCGACCAGCCCAGTCCCAGGAGCTGGGCCGTCCCTGGTCCTGTGCAGCCTCTGGCTCAGATTCCAGCTACACAGCCCGCTCAGAGCTGGGCCCGGGCCAAGAATCTGGGAGCGGCCAGTGCGGTTATTCAAGTTCCAAAGACTTCACCTCCTGCTCTCACAGGCTTCAGCCGGCCACCGCCAGCTGTGCCAAGAGGGCCCTGTGGACGCGCCCGGGGCGCCGGGGCGGGTGCCCTGGCCCACAGGGGGATGGCAGGCCCTCAGCAGAGGCCCATGTGTCAAAAGGATTTGGCCTGAGCCCCAGGCTGTTACGGGCCAGAGGCAGCAATGGCCCATCAGACCACAGTGAGCATTTTCTGGAACACACAGATACCAGGCTTGCCAGATCCCTCTGGGCCTAAACTGGATAGGGAGAGCTGCTGGCCTGTGTATCTGGAAATGACAGTGGGGGCTACTAGGGACAGCGGCTGCCCTGGGCCTCAGGAGCAGTATCCACCTCCAGGCTGCAGAGGCAGGTGGTCTTGGGGGCAATAGCGTCCCCTGGGGGCACCATGTCCTGGTCAGGCCTGGGAATAACTGCTCCCACTTAGGGTACAATTATTTCTAATCCCCACCACCGTCTCAGAGGAAAGTGTTATGAATCCTTTTCAAGGAGAAGACAGTTCAGTTCAGGGAGGGTGAGTGACTGCCCACGGACTCAGCCAGTAATTGACAGAGTCTCAGTTTAAAACCTCATCCGGTGGCTCAAAGTCCTCCCTCCTTCCCTGGCACCACACTGCCTCCCCAGCGTCAGGATAAGGAGCTGGTCAGTGCATGCAAGTGGTCTGTCCCAGTGGACAGTGTCTTCTCCGCTTGCCCCATCCCCCTTCGCCAGGGCCACAGGCATTCATGCATTCGTCTACAAATAGTTACTGAATGCCCATTACGTGCCAGGGAGTCCCTGGGTGGTGTAAAAAGTTAACGTGCTTGGCTGCTAATCAAATGGTTGGAGGTTCGAGTCCACTCAGGTGCCTCGAAGCAAAACTTGACATCTATTTCCAGAAAATCAGCTACTGAAAGCCCTACGGAGTCGGAATCGACTCCATGGCAACTGGTTATTATGTGCCCGGCATGCTGGGGATATGGCAAACAAGATAGAGTCCCTGCCCTCAGGGAGCTGAGGGGCCTGTCTCAAGCCACATGGAGAGCCCAGTAGGAGGTGGAGCTAGCATTGCCTGGGACAGAAACGGAAATGGGAGTGATGTCTCGGCTTGCTGATGTGAGAAGTGCCCTCCTCACCTTGCCCCACCCTATTCATGTCTCCAGATCCACATCCACTCTGCCCGGCCCCTGTGTTTGCCCTCAGCAAGCTCAAACACACCAATCATTTCTTCCCCCACCTTAGTTCCGTCTAGGGGACCTCACTCAGCACCCGCTAACTTGTTTTTGTCTTGTGACTGTCCCCCCCTCCCTGCCCCAGCCAGATCTGGTGAGTCCAGGGTGGACCTGACCCTGGGGAACCGCTCTAGAGGACGGGTGGACCAAGCAGCTGCTCTCGAAACTCTGAACTAACAGGTGTTGAGATGGAGTCAGTTCCAGGCAGGTTAAGATCTTTACAGTCTAGAGCACAGAAAAGGTTATGTTGCCTACCCCCATACATAATTCAAATTTTTTAAAAAAGACAAAACATAAAATAAGTGAAAGTGCCACAAAGTTCAGATTTCTCCCCATGAGGACTTTTTCGATGCTCTTATTTGAAGTATTAATTTCTTTCCAAAAATAAGTTAATGGTGCTCTCTGCACGTGTTTAGTCCACCTGTTGGGTAACTCAGTGCTGAGTCAGATGACGGTGGGCACGGGGACCGGCAGGTCAGGGACCTAGGGACAAAGCAGCCCTGTTGGGAAAATGCCAACAAGGAAGAGAGGAGAGGCGAGAGACAGAGACGACCGTGTGGCTCTGTCTCCGGGACTGGGGGTACTTTGTTCCCTGCCTGGTGTGCCCGTGACCCCGCCCGCTTTGCCTAGGCTCCTCGGGGTGGCTTCCCGCTCGACCCCCGGCCCGCCCCTACCGCCCGCGTCAGGAGCCCTGCTGGCCCGCACGCACCTGTCGTTGACGAAGGAGAACATGAGCAGCCTCTGCTCGATGAACCACTTCCACTCGGGGTTCTCGCTCTGCAGGTCTCGGTAGTTGTCGTTGGAGACGATGACGCCGTCCTCCTCGTAGGCCGCCTTCACGATGTAGCGGTCATCGTAGCAGACCACCCGCTTGCCTCCCACCCTGCGGGACGGGGTGTACACCAGCACGGCCTGCCGCTCCAGCTCCTCCAGCACGTGCCGCTCTGGGGGCCACAGGGCAGACGGGGCTGCACAGACTGCCTTCTCCGAGGGACCTCTGACCCGAGACCACCCGGAAATCGGAGCACAGCTCATTCCCAACAGCCCAGAGATCCTCCCTGAGCCAGTCCCCACCCCACCACCACCACCACCACTACCACCACCACCGCAGGTCAGATGAGGGGCAGGGAGGGTTCTCTCCCCGCCATAATGTTTGTGTCTTTCACTGAATTTTACAGAATTTACCAGCAGCCTGGGGTCAAGAGGGCTTTTAGCTTCTGCCCTGTCTATGTCATGATAAGGAGTCCCTGGGTGCTATAAACATTAATGCGCTTAGCTGCTAGCAGAAAGACTGGAGATTTGAATCCACCCAGAGGTGTCTGGGAAGAAAGGCCTAGCCATCTACTTCTGAGAAATCGGTCATTGCAAACCCTATGGAGCACGGTTCTACTCTGACACACGTGGGGTTGCCGAGAGTCTGAAGTGATTGATGGCAACTGGTTATGTCATGATAGGAGTCCAGAGTATGGTCTCCGAGAAGAGGGAGTAACTGTAGAAGGAAGATTTAAGCCCCAGCTCTTGTCCTTTTGATGGTTACCTCCCATAATTCCCCATCAAAGAACTAGGATCCCACCAAAGTAGACACAAGAGGCCTTCTCCAGGGGAAAGGCATTCATATTTTTAATGGAATCCAGCAATGTGTCATACGAATTATTAGGAGCCTTGCATCCACCTGGGAAGTTCCCTAGGGGAGCCCTTGGCCGACAGGCACTGGTCTGTCCCTCTCCTCCGCCCCTCCACATAGGAATTTGCTTGAGACACATTCGGGAGTGGAATATCTGTAGCTGATGTCTCTATCAGATAGAAAAATGTAATAGGAAGAGCCTGGGATTAAGAATCTTTAACAGCCTGAATACCAACAACGTTCTTCAAAGAGATGGAAAAACTAATCATTAACTTTATATGGAAAGGAAAGAAGCCCCAGATAAGTAAAGCACTACTGAAGAAGAAGAAGAAGAAAGTTGGAGGACTCACACCACCTGACCTCAGAACCTACTATACAGCTACAGTAGTCAAAACAGCCTGGTAC